CCTAACAGCTTTTAATTCACCCTTATTACAGAACTCAGCATGTGAAGAGTTGGTAGCAGGATCCTAAAGGGTTTGCACACACTGGTGGCATCGGCACTATCGACCATCTAAAAAATGCAGCACATTTTTGTTCCATATCTGCTGAACAGAACAGTGGTTCTGAATTATGTACTCGACTACAATTGGAACAGAAAATGTCTGTTATGGGCATGAAGTGACACAAAATATATGTGATGCAACATGGCACTTGGGAGCAGGGACAGATGTTGTGATTGCTATATCTTTTTTTAAAGTCAAGCTTCAGTCTAATATTCACTATGCAACAGATTTTAAACGTCACTGAGCGACACCATATGAGACCATCAAACACCTGACCGTCACACGTGGAGATCGGTGTAAATTTGTAAAGCCATTGACGCGTCACTTGTGATTTTGATTCGAAAGTAATGAATTGCCCGGCCCTACTTCAGAATGACTTTTCTAACATTCATAAAATTATAGAAGTCCCAGTATGATCATAATAGTCGGTATCACGGCTGATCTGGTCATATTTTAATGGACTGTATTAGCTTAAACCAAGCCATTTAAAATCTTGTCTGTTTCTTCTTTGATCAAATAAACTGCTCCAGCTGCTCTTCTTTGCAGCAGCTTATCGTGCCAGACTTTTACCAAGTGAAAGAATGTTTTGCTGCTCAAGTAAGAAAGACTCTTAAGACGAAGAACGTCAAAATAAACTAAACTCTGATGCTAACAGATTGTCAGCTGTCCTCTCTCTGTCATTAGCAAAGCGCCACATTGTTAGGTTGGGGCTAAGTATCACTTGCATTGGTTAAAATGACAAAATACGGTGGCGGATCATTTGTGCTTTCACTAATTTATAGTAATTCCATGAGTAACTTGACAAGGCCAAAGATAAACTTGTCTGCTGCCTCGTTGAAGTGCTCTCAGAAGTGTTTCCACTGGGACAGACTTGCGGGTAAAGAATTTCTACCCTGTAACGACCGCAAGTGTTTCAGTAGTTCCAACAATTGTAATCATTCTCTGTCCAGCTGATCAGCCCTACGGACCGCTGTGCTGATGCTCCGTGGTTTGTGACTTGTAGTTTCGTCGGTCCCAGCACTCGACTTCGACAGCATTCAACAAACGTAAAGAATCCAAACTTTTTATCAAACGTGATAAGGTTTGGTGGGCAACATTTTCAAGTGAGTCAAAACGGAAACGGCAGACACCTTTCCTCAAAAGGTATGGCCTTTACAGCCACAAACGTAATATCTGGTTAACAGCACAAAACATCAAATCTGCACTAAGTATAACTGACACTGAAAAAACGACATTGCTAATTTACTTTGCACCCTATACTGTAACTGACGTACCAACATAATTGTTTGTTTCACACATCTAGCAAACATGCAGCGACATCAGTATTCATTTGGAGTCGTGTCTCTGACCACTGACAATAATGATGAATGACGATCACTCTCCTCTTTGCTCCATTGTAGTCGAAACCAAGCCCTTGGACTTCAGCTGGAGGCTCGACCACACGCATTAGCAAGTCAAACCTTTTTCTCTGTGCCGTTTGTTGTGCGACAGGTAGCACACAGGCAGTTTATCAGAAAATCGGTTGGTAAAAACGACTGTCTGGTGGGGGCTAGACAGGAGGATGGCGAGCACGAGCTAACTGGTACCAATAAATCTGTTGGCTGAAAAACCAAAGCAATGAGCTGAAAGATGCAGGAAAACACTTCAAAGAGCTTTGGGAGACTGCAGAGCTGGGCGATCGTGTTCTGTTGGTTCATCACTGTGAGCAAAACCTTTGACCTGACAGTCACTTCATCTCTTCATTAATGAAGCCTTGTTTTATACGATTTATCTAATAATATGAGTTCATGTGTAAAACATTGATAAAGGCTAGTTTGCTGCTTTGGCATTAATATGTTAAATATAAGATTTACTATGACCACCTCACTTTTAAAATCATGACAAGGCAAGCAGATATAGCTTATTAACTCCATAAATACTACGCTTTCTAACAGCCAGCATCTGTGTCTAAAGTCCTCGACACCTGTTCTTAAATACCGTAATATATAATAGAGCAATGAAATCTGTAGGCACATCCAGTTGCTTCATTTGTGTTTCTCTTGAGTTGTATTTTCAACTCTTGGTCTACCGAAGGACCAAGCACACTGGCAACGTATCTACCTGTCCCTTCTGTTAGCAAGGAAAAAGCCTGGAACACCGTTTATTCCCAGCTGCTGTGTAATTATATGTCTGTAGTAAGAATATCTTAAGAACTGACACTTTGGTACCAAGCTGATGCCAAAAATCTGGAAGCATGATGATACTTGTTTTTCGATGGTTCCAAAAGTACTGACGCTCTTGAGATACTGGACAGTAAAAGCAACTCGTGGAACGGAAGCAGCAGCAAGTGTAACAACAGACGGTTGTGTCGCGAAGCAGGTCTGACACAGCCGGACTTTCTTTGTGCAAGTCGGCTTGACAAAAACTAAAGCCCCAGTCAGCGATCACAGGTATCACAGAGGTGGTTAACAATTTTCTTTTGTTAACTCAGGCTTTTTGTTTCAAACTCTATTCACAATAAAGGGGGTGTTTAATGTGTCATGTGACTCTTCTTCCGCGGAAAATGAAAATATCGTGTGCAGCTGCTTCAGTCAACAGGTTGTTATGATGGAGAATAATGACCAATATAAAACTGTGACGGCAAAAAGCGCTGCTACTGCAAATAAAGCAAAACAGGATCGCTAGAAGAAACCAGTTAAACATATTATTTTACTGATCAATGCGTCCTCTTACTTCTAACTGATAACCGCACATGAAACCTGTGAAACTTTAAGCTTCATATATTTAAACATGGTGTCAAATTGAAGTGCTGACGGTGTCCCATAATGCAGGATATCATTTTAGTTTTCAGCCAAATCAAAGTGACATTTATGTTACTGATTAAATATATGTTGTAATAAATACCAGTAGAATAATCCAGGTTGTAATCTGTGTTCTATTAGTTGCAGTACCAGCACAGTAAATGGACTTGACAGCAAATCATGATCAAATGTATTTTTGCATCGGGACGTCAGGTTCCCATGGAAACACTATGTATACAGTGTGCGATACTGTCACAACACGGTTTCATTCAGTGGTTTTAGTAACATACAGGCCATCAGGTTTACAGAGCTAACACATTCCCTCAGCTGAGAATCTGTATGCACATAAAGAATCGTCGGGAAAACAATTTGACAAAAAGGAGACGCTTCTTCCAGTCGCTTTAAAGCCGAAACTCTGAACACAACCTGCCCCAGATCAGGTTAGCGCCACAGCATCAGTTTATGGTGATCTAGCCAGCTAAAAAGAGAGCCACCTTTGTGACACTGAAAGCTCCAACTTAAGGCTCAACATACCTCGCTACCCCACTAATCTCGCTTCATAGTGCAGCCCTCAGGTCTGCTGTGACTTGTAGAAAAACAACAACACGCGTGAAAAGATATTTTGTGTTTGAGTCGGATGATCTGGGAGAAGCTACAGATCACCGGGCTGCCGCTATAGCTCAACTGTTTGACCTGGCATCCCATGTACCGGGGCTATAGTCCCAGACGCAGCGGCCATGGGTTCGAATCCCGCTTATGGCCCTTTGCTGCCATTCTTCTCCCCCACTTTCCTGTCTCTCTCTCTCGACTGCCGTATACAATAAAGGCAAACTGGCCAAAAAAATTACTTTAAAGCTACAGATCACCAAAATCAAGTATACAAATGGCGTCGTAGATCTTCTAAAACGAGAGATGAAAAACCTCTATCCTATCGGAGCTCCTTCAGACACGTATCTGGACCTGTACACAGAACTCAAGGCGAATGAGTCTCTGCATTAACATATGGTCAAAAAATTCAGATCCTAAATATGACTGTTCAGAATCTCAGCAGTAATGTTTTGCAAACTGTGACAGCTGAATCCTCTACAGCAATACCTTACAAACGACATTCACAAAGGCCAACGTAGCAACAGACAGCTCAGAACTGAACGGGTGCTGCTCACGTTAGCAGGTGTGTGTCAGCACATTGAGTGTGCCACAACTTTTGTAAGTAAGAGTTTATTTTTGAATAGACTGATTTATTTACTTTTTAGGTATCAAAATTGTCATTGAGAATGAAGAAAAGACTTCTGTATTCATCATCGGCTCCATGCAGTTCATCAATGTACTACTGAAGAAAAAACAAAAAACTGCAATGCAACTTTCAAATTAAACTCAAAAGGTTCTCATGTACAACTGAGATTAAGCCCAACTTCGCGACATCTCACACAGTCATACGTACTACTTGACTGCCAGCCAGTCAAATATTGAGAAATAGAAAAATGTTTTGTGTCCCTGTGTTTTATCTTGGCAAGAAAACAGTAGGAAACTGAGTATACAAGAAGACTTTAACCCAGTCTCCAAAATATGAATTTTGACAGATTTTATTGAAAATTCAACTGAACATGTCCGCATGTGGATCCCGAAAAACTCAAAAACACACGTACTTCCCCTTGCAAGTTAGGTTCTCCAACATCTGAATTACTGGGTAGTGTGTGTGTGGACTTAATTTTCATTCCACAGCATTAGAATTCAAACAAATTCACAACACATCTGGCTTTGTGGTTCCAGTTGCAGAAACCACAAGGACTACTCAACAACTGCTGACAGCTGAGGTCGACTCAAGTGGCTAACGTTGAACGCATCTTGGTAAAATAAAAAATTCCGTTGGTTGTTACCAAAGTTGATCAGTGTATCTATTTTGTGCTAGTCTGATCCAAAACTGCCACAGCTGGAATACTTATTACTTCATTGTACGGCAAAGTTTCAGTGTCGGAGCTGTCGGTTGTAAAAACAATAGACAGTAAAAAGGACAACATGCCCTGTGTGTCTGGCTGACATGAGAGCACTATGTCAGGATATTAAAGGTAGCAATTTGTTGTTGATGTCAACCCATTTGATCCCCAATAAGCGCTGTCTCACCTCCATCCCTGTCTCTGGCCCGGTGTGTGTGGACAGCCTTTGCTCTGCTGTGCCCTGTGCTGTCGATGTGTTTGTTTTCAGGGCTGTCAGACCTCCTGAGCATTTTGCAGGGAGGAGTGACATCTGAGGAGTCTCGCATCTTTTCATGCCGGTGGTCCCCTCCTGGATGGCTCTTGGACGAGTATTTGAGAGTCTGTGGACACAAATCAAAAATTTCACTAAAATCTAATGTCGTGTGTGTACAACGGTCTCATACTTTGATCACTGGTAGAGAACCTCTTAAACTAGTGATACTCAGATACCCACAAGGCTTTGCAGCTTTAACTACTAGTATGTCAAAGTATTTAAGCATCAAAGTTTTAATATTTCAGAAATTAATTTGCAAAGCTAATCTCCCTTCATGCAGCTAAATATTGATGAGATGGGAGCAGGTGATTTATCTATTAAATTCATTCTAAAGAGGAATTATTAAGAAGCCACATTAAGTATGCTTGCATTACTGTTTTAACAATGCATTTTTGTTGTTGTAAGACCTTTAAAATTTGTCCTAATGACGAAGTAAACACAACACCGTATCAACACACAAATAATAGTCTACGTTTCCTGCTCGGCAGCTCCATTTTCATTTAAATTGTTAACAGGCTGGTTTGCAGTTCTAATGTCCAGTACTCTGATGTATAGAGAGCTTAGCTAGCTATATCCTTAAAATGACAGATTGCGGTCAGGCCCTAATCGGACTGGCTAGCAAGCAAGCTAACAGTAACAGGCTATCATTAGCTTCGAGCTGCAATAAAACTCGTCTATACCTTTTCCAAAACCATTGAATTCGACGAATACATTCAGCTAGTGTTGTCTTTACCTGACGATATTTACGTTAGGAGATATTTAATGCGCTCAAATGGCTATTTAAAGCACAATCTCGTACTTTTCGTGTTATTTTCCGCACTGACTGGGGCCTGCTGTGCTCTCCAGAAGCCTGAGCTAGAGTGTCCATTTTAATCTTATTTGCTGCTAGCAAGCTAGCAGGCTACGGTTAGCTAACAAGTACCTGATAGGGCTGAGAATCTCTTCGGTCGCACCTGCAAATACAAAGAAAACAGTTGTGAATGTGAATGTTCAAATGCCAACGCTGAGAAATGCTTAAAAGTGCTGCTACGGCTAAACGTGCAAGTTTCCAGATACTTATTTTGGTTTCAGTAAAAATGGCGGATTGTCAAAGCGTAGCTACAAGGAAAAGGAAAATCAGAATAAGTAAAAAAAAAAAAAAAAAAAAAAAAAAAAAAAAAAAAAAGGATGTTTACCCATCGCCGAGTCTCGGTTGTTTCCTTGCATACATTACCATCAATGCCGTGTTAGTGTGTTTGGAGTGGGATGTGAAAGACTGATAATGGTACTGTGTTTTTCTTGTTGATTCAGACCTGAAATCGTCAATTATTTCAACCTAGCTTGTGGGTATTGCAATGCTATCAGCAGCACTGGTCGAAAGAGCGCCCTCACTCAGTCCATCTCCCACTCAGACACACAGCCGAGTGTATCTGCCGAGGAAACGTAGCCGTGGAGCTGCGCGCTGGGTTGCCAGATAACACACATCCACCACTATGGGGACGCCTTCATAAACTAAAAAACGCCTCAGAAAAATTTTGTCTAATCTTACTTCTAATATTACTATCTTAGGGGAGTTCTTGTGTATTTATATTTACAGGCATTTATTTTAATTTCATTTGGCTGATACTATTAGTTTTGCTGCAATATTAGCAAATTTTCAAAGCTAAAATAAAGTGGGTGAATGGAGTATCAAAATCCTCTAATGTCAGCCACGAGTGCTAGGATAATTGTTACACTCGTAATTATTCCAAGAAGTTGAGTATTTAGCAAATACAGATCAAATACGACTAACAAACGTGAATCTTGTACTGACCTGGCAACCTCACTGCAACCCCGTTTTCCACCTCCCCCTTCCGATAGCAACATCCGGGGCACAGTGTGACTGGAGTCGAACAGCCTCAAAACTTGTAAACGCTTTCATTTGGGCTGTTGAGTTGTGCCGTTCATTTTCTCCACACAGTTTCGTTTGAACAGTTATAATAAATGAAACCGCAGCTCCATTTGTAAATTAACACTGTACATATCATATGTTTAATAGGCCTTTATTATTTGCGCACAACTGACCGTGACTTGTTCTCTTATGACATCTAGTGGCCATATGATGGCATCGCAGGCAGCATTTATTCAGCATATCAATAAACCTCTCTGAATACTTCAGCAAAATTCATAGTTACATTGTATAAATATGCCACCAAAATATAAAATCTGTTTTGTGGTATTTTTATTGTCGATTTAAATACGGGCAGAGATCGAATGCTTTTTAAATAGCGAATAATTGTTCACCTTTTATTAATAAAGGCTTATCTTAATTTACAAAGTGCTAAAGCAAGGTACCCAAAAGGCAAAATAACAAGCTAAGCCAGACAGTAAAGCCAAAAGGACCAAGGAAAAATTAAAGTAGACTAAGATACTTTTTTAAGAAGTACAAAATGCAAAATGTGAGTAATAAAAATCGAGTAACAGTAACAGCAAAACACCCTTAATGAGCAAGACTTTATGAAAAATAAAAAAGAAGATGTCACAGACAATCCAATTTGTATAAATTGTGGTTTAAATGTGACTTAAAGTAAATAACTGATTCAGTGAGCTTATCTCTTCAGGTAGTCCCAAAGGTGAGGGGCCCTGATAGAGAATAGCACCTTTAGATTTAAGCCTCAGCATCAAAAAAAGCCAGAAGGGTTCTGTCTGAGGATCTAAGGCTGTGAGCTGGCTCACATGGGGTCACCGTTTCTTCTGTGTAGCTTGGAGCTGGACCATGGTTTCACAATAACAGACAAGGGACCATGGTTGCTCTCAGTGAAACTGGTGCACTTTGAGCAACTGAACAATTTGATTTCTATTTTTGAGTTACTGAGCAAATTTCGTGCCATCAACATCTGATGACACTGAGACATTCTGAAGCAGCTAGGCTTCCTATTCATACAGACTAGAAGCAGAAAAAAAGCATTTCATTATTTCACTTGTTCTAGCTGTAATAATAAAAGAAAAAAATAATAATCCTTATTTGTCACAAGAATATGATAGATCTATAGTAAATTATTCCAGAGTAACAAGAAAATATATAAAATAAATCCCATGGGAAGTATTCTAGGAGTGCTGTGAAAATGCAAAGCAGTTTCTTAACATTTTGGGGCTTTGACCAGGTTGTATTGATGGTTCACAGCAACTATCTGTCACAGGAGGGCTGCTGAGCTCCATTGTTCCCAGACAATATCTCCCACATCATATCCCAGACTGAGGACAAAAGAAGCTGTGGTTCAGCATTTCGGCACACAGCGCACTTTAATGTGGGAACAAGGGGGCATGAATGGGGGGTGCTTTCATTGTTAGCACATTTCTGGAACTTGTTCACACGCACACACACACACACACACACACAGAGAGAGAGAGAGAGAGAGAGAGAGAGAGAGAGAGAGAGAGAGAGAAAGGCTGTTTTTGCAAATCTTTATGATCTTACAACCATGTAAGACTATTTCTTCCCTATTGTGTTTAATTATTTATTTTCCTCATGTAATAATGAGGAATTGGAAGATCCATTCGATTACACATACTTGGCTGTGACCAAAAAGAAACAGTTCACCTTTTTTTTTTATTTGCTTTTATTTGATTTATACAAATTTATTGATTTAATAAAAATTAGGCAGAATCAATTCACATCCTTTAGAAAAGTCTTTCTGGCTCCTGACCACTTATTGCTTTTTATCTTCATGTGACCTGTAGGGGGAGGTGTCACACCACTTTTATAACACTTGTAGCAATGCAAAAAAAAAAAAAAACAACTCTCAAAAGTGGTATCAAATTGTATATCAGATCACTCCTACATGGGATAAAATTCTCTTTAAGAAATACCGTCAAGCTCAGGCTCACTATTAAAAAATACAGCAGGATGAAATATTTGTTCTCTCAACGCCAGAAATTAAAAGCTAACACAACATCAGATAAAACATTAAAACAAATGAAAACAAAGCAGCAAATTATCTGCAACGCATGGGTTGATTATTAAAAAACAAACAAACAAGAACTCAAAGCAAAAAACAAACAAACAAAAAAAAACTGATTGTAAATATAATAAATTGTTTGTAGATATCAGAGATTTTACAAGGGTGCATGAATATACAGAAGGCCTAAAGAGAGACAGACTCTCATTGTAATGTGCAAGTGTAATAATATGTTTAAAACTTTATTTTAGAATACAGGGCAGGTTAAAAAGGTATAAATTCTAATAATTTCACACATTTGTAATTAATCTTGAAAGTGATTGACCACTCTTTTAATAATAAACAGGGACAAATAGTCTATCTTTTAGACAACCTTTGTAAATTGTAGTTTCTTATTATTATTTAGCCTATATTTGCCTAGAAACTAATTCTCAAAGAGTTATGCCTTCCAAGCGTGATTGTTGTGTTTTCTCCTGTCGGCGGAGTCACGAATTTACGATGGAGGCGTTAGCTGATGATTGACAAAGACATTAGCCAATCAAAATGTAGAACTGACCCGCTGAACACGCCTCTATGAAACACTGACCAATGAACGAGCTGATTGGGCGGCGTCTGCGCTGAAAGCCATGTACGGAACAGGTCTCAGATCAGCTCCGCGCTGTGACACGTCCTCCCGCCAACGTTGTGTCTAAATATACAAACCGCTTCCAAGTCAGCGCCTTGGACGAGCACTTTATCCGTCTTGGAGAGTGGTACATTTAGTGAGGCGTAACGTTTTGAAAGGCTGTGCTCCGTAGACTGACGCTGGAGAGAGCGGGGATGAGTTAAGGAGGCGTAAAGGAACAAAAATAAGGCTTTCGAAAGTGGAAAATTAAACAAGTGAGTAGTTTTGTTTTGGAAGGAACCACTGGAGGAGTTAAGCGACACTGGGACCAGCAAGGAACCATTCAACTCCGACCTCCGATGCAAAGTGAGTTCCAACATCACGTTGTTGTATGTGGCTTTGAACTCACATTCAGCACTGACAAAACAGTGAAAACTAACTACTGGGCATTTTTGAAATAATCGACGTCGTTGTTATAGTTTTACGGGGACCTAAAACTCACCTGGTGACAGTAACACAACTGGACTGGTTTATGCTAATGAGGTAACCTAACAGCGAACTTGCTAACGTACAGCTCGGTGTGTAATATATATGAAGCTAACAGTTTGGGAGTTTAGCACACACACGCTAAACTGTATTTTACTTTTCAGGAATGCTAAGCTCATGTTATATCCAAGAATTTAAGTGTTAAATTCTCCACCAAGCGGAGCTTTTCGGTGCTATTTGTTTCAATGAAAGTTCACCTGACAGCTCGTCTTCAAGTGGGAAAGCGAGCGCAGCTTTAGTGCATAATATTCACAATGATAAGCCGGTACAGTGATACTACAGCTCTTCCCAGCTTAGCACAGAAAATAAAATAGCCTTGGTACGCTCACATACACACACACCGTAGTGACAAACATTTCCCCGTGACACAACCCTCAACTTCCACAAAGCGCACACTCCCACACCCTGACCACACACCACTCCAGGAAGTAGGCTGCAGTGAGTCGTGTAACACGGTCAGAGGGAATACAGAGCCCTTGTGCCCTGCAAAGTCAAGTGTGGTGACACGGAGCTTGTCACTGGCTGACAGCGACAAGCCTCTGACTGGGCTGCCTGCACTGGGAGACTCAGCACTTGGCCAGCTTCCATCGCATCCCAACTCAGCCATTTGTTTTGCATACTTTGAATGTGGATATTATAATCATGCACAACAGCACCATGTGTTTTGTGTCTCACAGGATTCCTTTATAACCATTATTGCTCTGCTGTGATGATACGAATGAGAGATAGTTCAGACCCTTGTTTATCTTTGCCTCGATGTGGAATTGCCTAATAACCCACTCAAAAGCCAAGATGTCATGTGCTTTCTTCATGTGGTTGAACCTCAAATAAACCCAAAACATCAGCAGTATTTTATTCAAAATGTAAGTGCTATTATTTTGTGTTCCACTGAGTCATTTGCCTCCTTTGACAGTTACTGCATGTTTCTTGAATGCACACGTTTAGCAGAGAATGTGCAATGTGTTTGAATTTTAAAAGTTGATTTAGTCAATTGGTTTGAAGTTCAAAAAGTATTTTAACAGGTCAAGTCAATCAGCTTCGGAATTGCAAAGCTGCATTTCAGTGTTAAACATTGCATTCAAAATGATAGATTGTGAAACTGTTTCTAGCAGTGTGGATAGCTCTGTTAATGCTAAACCTCACTGCTTCCTGCTAGACACAATGTCTGCAACATGTTCCATCATTCATTAATAATTATATTGGTATTCTCAACACTAACGTGGTGTTCAGGCTGTAAGAGGACGACCCTATTTCCTTGTACTTGCTTGCGTTACTGAGGGGACTCTCTGGAGAGCTGACATTTCTCTGTGTAAACCCCAAAACCTCAGTGGTTTATCTGTAGTTTTGGCCAACTCCTTTGCTCTCACTGGGAATAACCCACTTCTACTTTTAAATCTTGCCTAGAAAAAGGTGGGAGGCCTTTAGTCTGCATTCCAAATGGGCAGGGAGAGTCTCTCAGGAGACTTTGATTATAAGTATTTTAGTCTAGTTAATTACTCTGTCTTGTTTGAGGTCCACAGCCTAGCATCATGACAAGGGTGTGATGGTTTCCTTATGCCTTTGACATGATGAATGGGTTCACAGGCGGTTGACTATTGATTGAAGGTGTGGAGCTGCAAAGTTTTTCCACCTGGAAATTGTTCTTTGCTGGGGTGGCCTGTTTGAGTCCCTGTGGCAAGAAAACAGACATTTGCGTCTTGATTTTTTTGCACACAGTTCTGGGGTGAGTGTGTGGAGGCAGCCGAGGTCAGGGTGGGGTCGGATGCAGCGGCTCAGACGCTGCCCGGCGTAGGAGAGTTTGCCCTGTGTTGGTTGTCTGAACAGGTGTCTCCGAGTTGCAGCTCTGCATAGCTCGCATTCCCAGGGTTTTGTTCCTGGCGTGGATGGTCACCGAGTAGGGGGAGGGAGGTGTGGGAACTAAGAATGCTATGTGCGCAAGGCTCAGCTCCCAGAATTCATTTGAGCAACCTGCTGATAGAGACAAACGCTTCCTGTCATTGCAACAGCCCGGCTTGTGTTGATGAGAAACCTGTCAGCGGCCCATTGCGCTGCTTATGGCTGCGGACAAAGCCGAGAGTTGGCCTCCATAACGGCTTGTCAGCAGGAAGGCTATTTTCTTGGGGCTTAAGGGTGGGTGGGATACAGTGGTTTAAGACTCTTAATCCAGGCATTAGTTTGGATCACTATCAGCTCACTCAGAATCATGGGAAATTGCCCTGCCTGAACAGAAGTATTATTTTACCCTTCTTTCTTTATTTCACAAACCTTTTCTTCCTACTCGCTCTCTTAAACACCTCCAAGAATCACATAAGTTTGATACCAGAAGTACTGAAAGAATCGTAATCTGAGGAGTTAGTACAAGAAGTAGGCAATGGCTCTTCTCATTGTGGCCGTCTTAAATACAGAAATTTGAAATTTCAGCTCCCTCCAGGAATGCAGTCTTTCTGGTCCCAAAGAAAAACAAAGATAAATGCCTCCAGAGAATGTAAAGGGGGGTTGTCAGATGTTGTGGCCTGCCTTAATAGTGACTCTGTTGCAACTGCACTGCTCGAAGTGGGTTCACTGCCTCTTCATCAGGCGCTGAGTGTTCAAGTGTTCTCTCAGCTCACGTCTCTGAGCGCTGCCTTGTGACATATTGAGGCGAACCTACTTTACAACCAGCCATTGCTAAACTTGGCATCATATGAAATATGAATACTAGCATGTCTTTGCAGTAGCTTAATCCATTTATAACATCTGAAGCCACACTGAACAAAACATTTTACACTGCATATGTTGATTTCTTTTTTTTTTTTTTTGAGATCTTTAATGTCATGTTTTCCATGATTGCACTGGTGCTATGTTGCAATCCTTGTTGTGAAATTGATGACTGTAAAGTGATAGGTTTATGAAAGCAAATTCCCAGGAACTAGAAGAACAAATTCCCCACCAGTAGAAGAGATCCTCTTTGAGTCAGTCCGCCATGGTTTATCACTAACTCATTGTTGTGGTTGTGAGGAACTGAGCTGCATGTATACAGAGAACAGTCCATCTATACATTCACTGGTACCGTTCCTCTTTCCATCCATCCACCCCTCCATTCATCTAATTGTTCTTTCATTCGTTTTACTCACCAACCACCTATCTGTTTGCCTGTCCGTTCTAACGTATTTCTATCCATCTATCCTGCTATCTGTCCATAATCACCATCTTTCTCTGTGGTATCACTAATCTCTGAGCCTGCAGTGGACTTGTTAGCCTACTGCTGCTCTGCTGATCCCAGACGGAGAGATTAAAGTTATATACTTGGCAGGGTCACAGTTGACGAGCATCACCCGTAGTGATGCTGTGTTGTTTTGCCCCTGCCTGCCCGGCAGAGGTGTAGGATTTCTCCAGTACCACGTAAGCCTCTGCAGTGCTGAGGAGGAATGAGCCCACCCAGCAGATGCCAGCCATCAGACACGGACGTTGGCTGCGTTATATTCCCGCTCGTGTACATAAAACGCTGTGCTCACCGTGCAGGCATGCTGCCGTCCTGACTCACTGTGGGCTGTGTGTTGATACAGAAAGCAGAGAGACTGAATGAACAGCAGTTGCATAAATACACATACTTGTTGTGGGAAAGCAAGCTAAGGACTGAGCCCTCAGGGAGAAGGTTCAGCTATAATGTGTTACTGTATATAGGTCTTGACATGACTGGTCTGAGAGTGCGGTGTTTTATTACGGGACCACGTTTCGTTCCTACTTCAAGGCCTACACAATTAAGACATGCAAGGCAGCAGTTACACAGCGCAGTGGGCTTCTTATTTAGCTACAACTGTTACCACCTCCTTGATTTACATTTAAAGCCTTTGGGCTGACGGGAAGTTGCACTTCAAGGTATTTCTGTGGGAATACTGCATACATCAAAAGGCTTAATCATAATCTAACAGATTAGATGTTTGTAGGGTTTGTTTGTAAGTCCATTGTTTAAAACTATGACTTTGTTTAAAAGGAAATGTTTAGAAATGAATTGTTACACAGGCTAGTAGAGATATACTGTACGCCTGTTAGAGCTTGTACCAATTTGTCAGCAGTCAGTGAAGGCTATAGCCTTACATAGAGAAGCAGTAGGTTCACTTGACTGACGTCAGGGTTATTTGTCAAATGGTGTTTTATTTATGAGGGATTTCCATGCATGCCCCCTGCCTAGCTTTACTACACATATTCCCCTCATGGCAGCCCTGTGAATAATTCAACATACTTGGAACAGACAGAACCAAAATAGCCCAAAGTGTGTACTTGTTTGTGGCTCAGTCCAGTAAATCACAGCAGTCGCACAGGATTTGTGTAGAGTAGTTATGTTTGTATTTTATGTGCTTGTGGATGAAAACTTGATTTAAAGACTTCTTTGGATTAATGTCAACTATGCAAACGAATGCCATAGTAGTGGTCTGTGTATTTGTCCTGAACCCTTCAGTATGGAACGCTTGGTTCAGTTTGAAATTACGTTAGTTTGGTACACTCTGTGAGCTAAACAATTACTTTGATCAACATATTTTCTAGAAAAGGAAAATTGTACACTCAGAATGTTTTGGCAGTACACCAGCTGCTGTGCTTCAGCTATAGCATGTTAGCAGGATGAGCCTTGGAAGCTGGGCTGGCACTGTGCCAGTTTTATTAAACATGTACAAAGTGTTAACTCCCAGCATACATATCAATCAGCCCTTCTGTGCGTCCAGAATCTGCAACTTCTCCACTCACACTGTACCATTCAGTTGACGGCCTCTATGTGAAGTTTGCACTGATTCCTAGTCCCCTTTTCCTTGTGATAATTTGATAGATTTGATAGTTGTAAAGAA